TCTCGACGACGAATACTTCCCCTCTTGAATTCAATTCATTATTCAAAATCTGAATCTGAATTCAAATATAAAATGGAAACATTTTCGAACAAATTAAAAAATCTTCTGTGTCCCTTTCAGTGCTTCCGTAGATCTGAGTGCTTCAGTTATTATACCAGGATTGATGGAATGATGAAGGTGAGTTTTTTCGAGGTATTTCGTCTGAAATTCAAATATTTTACATTCAATAACATTTTCCTCTCTTTGGTATCATGAAACTTTAAAATGGTCAAATATGTTTCAGAGCTTCTCTATAGAATCTGGTCTAAAAACTTATTGTGAGCAAATATGTCCAGGTGATGAAATTATTTGAATGATTTTACTGATGGTAACATTTTGTTTTCCTGTACGCATCTGTAATAACTTGCCTAGTTTTCGGAATACAATGGTTTCAGAAGGTTTCAGAAAAATTCTTTTCTTCATCAATTACTCAAAAAACCCTGTGGTTCTTCCTGAGGGTGCATGAATCAATTGATCTATTGAATTTCAAAGATCATTGGTCCGAAATTTTCTTTAGGAATCAATAAATTGCTATCCATACCAAACATCAGGATGGAAATTATGGGAAGGAAAATTGGATTTCAGTCGGAATTCCACCTTTCTTGATGGAAACAATCAATCAATCAATCAAAAATATGCTTTATTGTCGAAGACATACATCTTATTGACAAAGCTTGTACTACAAATATTAAAAATATTAAAACAATCATGGAAAATAACTGAATAACTACAACAAGAAGGTCATGCAATTATCTATATAATCACATATCAAGAGTAGCCAAGTTCCCTACCTACGATTGGAACATTGCCCTTCTACCATTATTAGATGCACTCACTAGCGGTAGCAAAGTCAGATACCTACTACAGAAACATCGTCTAATACAGATGCGCTCGCTAGTGGCAGCAAGGTTCTAAATCTAATAATTGCATCAGGTGGGTTGTTACCAACAAAGTCGACTTTATAATCACAGGTGATAACTCGCTTGTCCCCTATGCTATTAGAGTTTCTTGCTGGGGTAATTCGATTTCTGACTATGGTTAATAGGAATTTTCCTCAATGTAAGTACGTCTATGTGGTTCTCACGATGTTCTCTGAACATTACAGGATATTCCTTCTGTGGGAACCAGAACATGAAAAAAAAGTGATCTTATTCGAGTCAATATTTCAACGCCTACACCAGAGTATTTTTATTTCATCCACAGAACATTTTATGTGACGTACTTATCATTTTTCGTGCGACTTTTATCATGAACTTATTTCAAATCATACACGTTATTTATTCTCACTTTGTGCTATTTTGCTAATATTCGCCATTTTGAGTGATTTGTTCGACGGGATTGATGATGCTGTCGTGGTTGACGTGGTTCGTGTTGTCTTTGTGTCTCACAAAGTGTGAATTTTGAGGTGGAGTAGGTAATAAGTCAAGACAAGTCATTTCTGGACCATCTGCAGGAATGGGGAACTATATTTGGTATATTTTTCATCCAGGAAATATATACTGGGTTTTTCAAAATATATGGGAAGCACATCAAGATGATGTGCTCGGAAAGCTCAGAACTATGATACATTTGGATGAACCAAATTTGCTTCATTATACCTATTTATTGTTATCTGTAGTGGGAGGAATGAGAGGACGCCTCCCACACAATATGAAGAACCCAGTGTAATGAAATCTAGCTATGAAATTATACTAGTAATAGTTTTTAGAATTCACAAGTATTGGTCTAGAAGTAACCAAGTTACAAGGGTGAACATTTTTGGAGTATCACCCTGTATATTTCGATGGATCCAAGAAATGTAACAGGAGAGTCAACAATAATGAAATAGGAATGTTATAAAATCGTCCAGGTACTTTTCACATTCCGGAATGAAAACTTGGTACGTCGAAGCGTTATCGCAAATACTGTTTGAGAATGTACTTTCACTGTAACATAGCTGTTTTATGAGACGTATTGGTTTCGACTCATACTCAACGTACTTGCGACGTCCTGCGATTTTGTACTGTTGGTGGACATATATGTATAACGACTCTGAGATACTCTTTGGGATGTTAATAGCACCAAATTCACAACGTAACAACGTATATATCTTGGTATTCTTGGTTACAATGAAATAACGTTAATAGTACGAGTTTTTGCACCGTGGGAATTTACTAGGGGCAATTATCAGTTGTAATATCCCTAGGGAATTGATAATTGACGAGATAATTTTATGACAATCGAAAACTCGTTCCTTGGTAACAGCTCGAAGCCGAAGACAAATACTTAGATATGAGATGATAGGTTCAAATTACATAAAAAAAATTCTATAGAAGTTCACCAAACGTTCATGGCTTGAACAATGTTTCCAAATGAAATAATGCTAATCGATCTGAAAGAGATTGTTGGCAAACTATGTACAAAACTCATAACTTTCTTCCTAATGTTGAATCACCGCCTGTTTCGTAACGAAACTTTTATAATGGAATGATACAAACTCCGGGATCGACCGCAATCAATCTGCTTTTTTGTTCGGCGTTTTCCTATCAATATCGTTACTGGGTTTTCCTCTTTTTCTCTCTCTCTTTTTCTATCAGATGTCGAACCTGGAGATTGATTTCCACTAAATACGAAACGCTATTATTTGTCGAAACGCCGAACGCTTATTACTTTTGTCATCTGGCATTCAATCTTCTATGTCCAATAGTGGTTTTCGTATGAAAAACATTTTCTGTTTCAATACTGGAATTAGAATGAGTTTCATTGTAGTACGCAGGGTATAACTCTCAAAAATTAAATTTCCCAAATAACTTCAACTGTGTTGAAAAGGAATATTCTCAGATATATTTATGAACACAAAAAAAAATATATGCAGGTTTACTGGTAATTCGATACATTCCTTTGTAGAGGTGGTGAGGAGTGAATTTGACCCTCATATGCATTATGCAAAAGTTCATAGTTTTTGAGAACTACTATCAAGTTTTTCTTTGAACGCCATGTTCATAAACTCCTAAGTCTCCACACGTAGATAAGTAAATGAAGTCGATCGTAAAACACGTTTTCCAAACCCAACCAAATGACAAAAAACCCTGTAGAAATCTCAGACCACTATCCGACTAGAATTAGGGCAATTTTACCTAATTGTTACCTCGTCTTATTCGTCAGGATACCCTTATATCCCTATTCTCGTCTTCTGAATTACTTCCAGTTTTTTCTCCATATTGGTAAATTCAAGGTATACGGCAGATACGGTCTGTCCTGGAATACTGTTCCCACATATGGAGTTCAGCACCAAAACATACGCTGATGCCCTTAGAATTCATTCAGAGAAGAACCATTCGCCTGGTGGGTGACGCCACACTCACTCACTCTTCTGCATCATTAGAACACCGTAGAAAGGTCGGCGACCTTGCACTTTCCTACCGATACTTCCACGGGAAATGTTCTTCGGAAATCTCTGCTATCATCCCTTCACTAGCAATACCAGTCAGACAAACTAGACAAGCCCAGTCAGCACATCCTTTCGTTGTCAACCTCGAAAGATGTCGAACAGCACTTTATCAAAACTCTTTCATCCATAGAACGGCTAGGCTCTGGAATTCATTGCCTGAGGAAGTATTCCCAACAACATACCTACCTCCTGTCCCTATCCTCCCTAGGAACGCACGATGTTCTTTGAACATTAATAGATATTTACGTTACTAGTCCGGTAAGTACACTTTTACAGTACGAGTGAGATGTTTACGGACGAGGCGCAAGCCGAGTCCGGAATTCCGAAACGAGTACTGTAAAAGTTTACCGGACGTGTGACGTATAACATTTTATTTCATACTGCTAAAAAACGAAAATGAACAGTGAAAAATAAAATATTAATCTATTTATCTGCGTCCAGTAATTTCAGAATTTTGCATTCACTCCCAAGATAGCTGGCAGGTAGTTTCCTTAAAAACATAATTTTTGTTTTAAATAATACTGTCAAGTAGCAACTCCCTGATAAATAATTCATCTAATGGAGCTCCTGGTAATATTAATATTAGCAATAAGTAATTTCTGTGTATTGTTTTGCTGTTGAATTTTTAATAAATGTATCCATGCCTTTGACGCATAACTGAGTTTTCAATATTTACAATCCGGTAAAATTTCATTACGGGATAGTAGCACGTAATGAAATATTACGTGCTCCTATCCTGTAAAAGTCTATTTTCCGGATTGAAATCAGGTACTTAAAGGTATGTTCTATGATGCAGTATGAAATAAAGGGATTTCCTCTCGTGCGCTCCAAGCAATAAAAAAAAATAATGAGACGTAATATTTACTGTTGCGTAACAGATCAAAATACCAGAAAAGTGCTTTGAGTGAGAGTGATCAGATCGTGTCCACGATTTTTTGGAAAGGTCACAATAACGACTCACCCAAATTTTGATGAATGGCGATACTCTGGATTGCTTTTCTGGTGTCGTGGGAATTGGCTTTTCACAAGGATCCTCTGGTTGCCATTTTCCCAAATTTCGGCCGAAGGTGGTTGAGGCACAATCACATGAATTCACACCAAAGGATTTTGAATAAATAGGATTTGAAATGTTGATCGCGGTAGCGAGTAAAACGAAAAGTATAAGTATACTGATGCGTTGCGGTACAAATTTTATCGAATACTGGTTTTTAAATCCATTTCAGATCCGAACATGCAGAAAGGCACAAAAAACGGCCCGCACAAGGTCGTCATGTGACTTTGCAAAAATAGGTAAATAACTATATATACGAGGGCAATCAAGAATTATTGATCACTCTTCTGGTAAAATGAGTTGAATAATAAAATTAAAATGAAACTTAAGATTACAATTATATATATGAACATGAGTCTTCCCGATAAGACGAAACATTTACTATGGCCAAATATAAGTCGTTGACCTATTCTGAGGTCGAAATGACGTATATTATACCTGAAATACTTGATTGGTTTCGTAACCATTTATCATACTGAGATTTGTCTACATTTCTCATTACCAATGGAGATCAATTCGGTCACCTCACCAACGCCAGGTCAACTGGATTATTGAGCGAATCCATCCCTGCACGAAAAGAGAGACGACTCGACAATTTCGCGTGCTCCGGGAGAAAACAGCCCCACAGGCACAGCCGACTCTCTCGCCAGTCCAGCGTCGGCCTGTCGTCGGAGCGTCGGCTTAGCGTCGCGATGCCCTCCGCCGTCGATACGATGCGCGCGTGGTTGCTCTCGGCGCTGGTGGTTCACCAGGCTGTGGCAGGCAACCCCGACGCCAAAAGGCTCTACGACGATTTGCTGTCCAACTACAACAAGCTGGTGAGGCCAGTGGTCAACACTTCGGATGTGCTCAGGGTGTGCATCAAGCTCAAGTTGTCGCAGCTCATCGATGTGGTAAGAATGTATTTGTGTCTTGAAATTCCTCATTTTTTCCATTGTATTACATTTGTCACATAATCCCACTTCTGAAAAGATCTAGGTCAAGTTGTCGCAGCTCATTGATGTGGTAAGGCTATTATTAAGTCGTGAAATCTCCAATTTTGTATTGTATTGAATTACATTTCTTACAAAATCCCACTTCTGAAAATTTGTTCAAGCTGTCGCAGTTATCTGATTTGGTGAGGGATCGCAGCTATGTGTAGATTTTCCATACATAGTGCATTTCTTACAAAAACCTACTCATGAAGAGATTCGCCAACCTGTATCTGTGCTCAGGGTGTATATTTAACCCGAAGAAAATCGTTCTCCAGACTATATAAAGCAATTATTGAAGTTGGTCACTTTCCGTTCAGAGAATAATGTCATTCTGAAAGGTGAAAAAGTGATTGGTTGAACTTCCATTGGTCACTAACGTATCTGGACATCGCATAAAATGTCGTGTTTTAAGACTTCTTATGGAAATCGGATTATATTTTGCACTCCTCAGAAAATCTTACTACTTAAGAGAGTGGATGTGTTCAGGCTGTGCATCAAACATGATCAAACTCAAGCTGTCACACTTATTGTGGTGAGACATCTTTTGGATGGCCATATTATACAATGAATCTAGTAGATATAGAATTGAAATTATTTCTCAGCAGAATATTTTGTTACTTATGCTCAGGGTGTACCTGATCCAAGCTAGAGCTGTCTGAGCCAAGGTCTAAGCTCATCTATGTGATGAGGCATTTTCTGAGGTTTTTCAATAGCGCCAAAATTATCCATTTTCCTCAATTCGTGTATCTTGCGAATTAAACACCTAATTTCGACGCCAAAAGGCTCTACGGCGATTTGCTGTCCAACTGCAACAAGCTGGTGAGGCCAGTGGTCAACACTTCGAATGTGCTCAGGGTGTGCATCAAGCTCAAGTTGTCGCAGCTCATTGATGTGGTAAGAATATACTTGAGTCTTGAAATTTTCAATCTCTTTCAATTGTACTGCATTGCATTTGTTACGAGATTTCACTTCTGAAAAGATTTGGCCCGAGCTGTCTCAGCTCATTGATGTGGTGGGGAGTCGAGTCTATGTGGAGATTTTTTATTTTTTATGCATTTCTTACAAAAATCCACTTCTGAAGAGATTCGTCTACTTGTAACTGTGCTCAGGGTACGTATTTTACACAAAGAAGATCGTTCTCTGGTCTATATAAATCGATTGGAGCTAGGCACTTCCCATTCTAAAAAGAATGTCATTCTGAAAGGTGGAAAAGTGATTGATTGAACTTTCATTGGTCACTATAGTACCTGGACAGCGCATGCAATGTCGAGGTTTCAGACTCCTTCCAGAAATCGGAGTATATTTTGCACTCCTCAGAAAATCTCCATGTGCCCAGGGTGTGCATCAAACATGATCACACTCAAGCTGTCACAGTGAGTGTGGTGAATAATCTTTCGGATGGTCATATCATACAATAAATCTAGATATAGACTTGAAAATATCTCTCGGCAAAATATTTCGCTACTCAAGCTCAGAATTCACCTTTTTTTATATTCTGGTTTCCACGAAAAGGAATATCCTGTGATGTTCAGAGAACCAAGGGAAATAAGGAAGTAATTGGTGTTCTTCTTAAATTCCTGGAGTTTATATGCCTTGGGGAACATCTCTATTGGCTATGTGTTCAAGACCCTCGCTGTTCGTTGGATGAACGAGTCTTTGGAGAAAGATGTTCTGTAGGTCTCCAAAATAACCACAAAGGAGTGCGAAGCCTGAGACTGTCAAGATAGAAAAAGGTTGTTGATATTTCAGGAGAGCATCGTCCATGAAAATATCTAGGAAATTGAGCCAGATCAACAACTTTTTTAAGGTGTTTCAGAGGAGTGAGTTCGTGAGCGAGGCATCACCCACGAGACGAATTGCCCTTTTTTGGACAGAAACCAACAGTTTCAGGGTACGTTTGGGTGCTGTACTCCAAATATGGCTGTCTCAGACTGAGTCTCAGCTCATCTATGTGATGGAGCATTTTCTTAGTTGTTTTAATAGCGTCAAAATTATCCATACACCCAATTTCGACGCCAAAAGGCTCTACGACAATTTGCTGTTCAACTACAACAATCTGGTGAAGCCAATGGTTAACACTTCGGATGTGCTCAGGGTGTGCATCAAGTTGTCGCAGCTCATCGATGTGGTAAGGATATATTTGAGAAATTTCTCATTTTTCCCATTGTATTGCATTCGTTACGAAATCCCACTTCTGAGAAGATTAAGCTCAAGCTGTCGCAGCTCATTGATGTGGTGACGTGTCGATTTTATGAGATTTTCTATTCGTCTTGCATTTTTTACAAAATCCCACTTCTGAAGGGATTTACCTACCTGTAACTGTGCTCAGGGTATGTATTCAACCCAAAGAATATTGTTCTCCGGTCTATAGGAAGTGATTGAAGCCATCCACTTGATGTTCTGGAAATAATATCATTCTGAAAGGTGAAACAGTGATTGATTGAACTATCAACTGTCACTATAGTATTAAGACAGCGCATTGAATGTCGGGTTTTCAGATTTCGTCCAGAAATCGGAGTATATTTTGCATTCCTCAAAAAATCCTACTTCTTAAGAGAGTATAACTGTGCTCAGGGTATGCATCAAATATGATGTGATTCAAGCTGTCTCAGTAAGTGTGGTGATACATCTTTCGGATGGCCATATCATATAATGAATCTAGGTATAAACTTGAAATAATTTCCCGGCAGAATATTTCGTTACTTATTTTCTAGGTTTACCTTCGAGCTGTCTCAGCCAAGGTCTCAGCTCAACTATGTGATGAGATATCCATTAAGTTGTTCTATTAGCATCAAATTTATCCAAATTTTTCAATTTGTATATCTTCTTTTATGTTCTGGTTGCCACGAAGAGAGATATCCTGTAATGTTCATGGGAACATAGTGAGAACTAAAGGAAATGAGGTAGGAATTATTATTCCCCTTGAATTTCTGGAGGTTATATGCCTCGAGGAACACCTCCTTTGACAATGTGTTCCAGAACCTCGCTGTTCGTTGGAAGAACGAGTCTTTGAGATGAGATGTTTGGCAGGTCTCCAAAGTGAATACGAAGGGGTGCGAAGCCTCAACTCGCCGGGTTAATCTTGCGGGGACTGCCAAGGAATAAGGAACAATTGATTGTTGATATTCCAGAAGGCATATCTATGACATAGAGCCAAATCACCAACTCTTCTACGGTGTTCCAGAGAAGTGAGTGAGTTCGTGAGCGAGGCATCACCCACGATTCGAATTGCCCTTCTTTGGACAGAATCTAACAGTTTCGGGGTATGTTTGGGTGCTGCACCCCAAATATGGGACCAGTTTTCCAGGACTGGTCGGATCTGTGCCTTATAGATCATAAGCAGCTGACTGGAAGTGGAATAGCTCCTGGCCCATAACAGAAAACCGAGTTTTTGGGATGCACTTTTAGCAATTGATCTCACGTGATTTTTTCATGGAAGGTTATTGCTGATAGTGATACCAAGCACCAAAATGGATGTCTTCAAAGGTATGGTTACTCCTGACAAGCTTATGTTGGGCACAGTGAGATCGGCTGTTCTAGAGAAGAGGCATGCTTGTGTTTTGTTCGCATTGAAATCTACCGAGTTATTGGATCCCCATTCATGAGAATGTCATACTCAATTTCGAAACCAAAAGGCTCTACGACGATTTGCTGTTCAACTACAACATGCTGGTGAGGCCAGTGGTCAACACTTCGGATGTGCTCAGGGTGTGCATCAAGCTTGAGTTGTCGCAGCTCATCGATGTGGTAAGGATATATTTGGGAAATTTCTCATTTTTCCCATTGCATTGCATTTGTTACGAAATCCTACTTCTGACAAGATTCAGCGGAAGTTTTCGCGGCTCATTGATGTGGTGAGGTGTCGATTTTATGAGAAGATTTTGTATTCGTCTAGCATTTTTAACAAAATCCAACTTCTGAAGAGATTCACCTACCTGAAACTGTGCTCAGGGTATGTTTTTGACCCAAAGGGTATGTATTCAACCCAAAAAAATATCCGGTCTATATGAAGTGATTGAAGCTATCCACTCGATGTTTTGAGGATGATGTCACTCTGAAAGGTGAAAAAGTGATTGATTAATCTTTCAACTGTCACTATAGTATCTAGACAGCACATTAAAGTCAATAACCTACCTTTTGGAGAGACATGTAGAATTTTGAGGTCCTCATTAGGATCAAAACTATGGCGTGAATTCAGGATATGATTTGCGAAAGAACTTCCAGTATCATATTCATCAAACAAAGGAGTGTATTCTTGGATTTTTCAATGATCATTACATGTTCTGTAACTCTGGTTGAAAGTTTTTCACCACTTAGTCCAACATATTGAGCATTGCAAT